TCTCTTTCTCTGTCTCTCTCTTTCTCTGTCTCTCTCTTTCTCTGTCTCTCTCTTTCTCTGTCTCTCTCTTTCTCTGTCTCTCTCTTTCTCTGTCTCTCTCTTTCTCTGTGTCTCTCTTTCTCTGTGTCTCTCTCTGTCTCTCTCTGTCTCTCTCTCTGTCTCTCTCTCTGTCTCTCTCTCTGTCTCTCTCTCTGTCTCTCTCTCTGTCTCTCTCTCTGTCTCTCTCTCTGTCTCTCTCTCTGTCTCTCTCTCTGTCTCTCTCTCTGTCTCTCTCTCTGTCTCTCTCTCTGTCTCTCTCTCTGTCTCTCTCTCTGTCTCTCTCTCTGTCTCTCTCTCTGTCTCTCTCTCTGTCTCTCTCTCTGTCTCTCTCTCTGTCTCTCTCTCTGTCTCTCTCTCTGTCTCTCTCTCTGTCTCTCTCTCTGTCTCTCTCTCTCTCTCTCTGTCTCTCTCTGTCTCTCTCTGTCTCTGTCTCTCTCTGTGTGTATGTGTCTCTCTGTGTGTGTGTGAGAGAGAGAGACAGAGAGAGGCAGAGAGAGAGACAGAGAGTCTCTCTCTATGTCTCTCTGTGTGTGTCTCTCTCTTGTGTCTCTCTCTCTGTGTGTCTCTCTCTGTGTGTCTCTCTCTGTGTGTGTCTCTCTCTGTGTGTGTGTCTCTCTGTGTGTGTGTCTCTCTGTGTGTGTGTCTCTCTCTCTGTGTCTCTCTCTCTGTGTCTCTCTCTCTGTGTCTCTCTCTCTGTCTCTCTCTGTCTCTCTCTGTCTCTCTCTGTCTCTCTCTGTCTCTCTCTGTCTCTCTCTGTCTCTCTCTGTCTCTCTCTGTCTCTCTCTGTCTCTCTCTGTCTCTCTCTGTCTCTCTCTGTCTCTCTCTCTCTCTCTCTGTATGTGTGTGTGTCTGTTTCCCTTTTCTGCTGGCTCCAAAGAGTTAAGTTTTGCCCTGCTTATCAACTCTAGAGAATTAAGTTTTACTCCCTGAGATGGAAAAGTCAAATTGAGTGATTAGTCCGCCAACTGTGTAGCTCCTCTTCAGTCCCTGTGCTGCTGAAAACTAGTCCCCACAGCAGTGCTCAGGTCTGTTTTTAAGCTGCTGACCTGGGTCTTGGTGGGATTATAGTGGAGTCTCCACCACCACAGGGAGATCTGGGAGTTAAGAGCAGTGTCAGTCCTCCTTAGGGACTCTGCGGCTTCCTTTCTCATTATCAGAGCTGACCCTTCCTTGCTCCTGAACAATCGCTCCCCTTGTGGGTTGGGAAGTTACCCAGAATTACTGTGGTCATTCATGGCCCTGGATGCTGGGCGTTTACAGAGGAGGTGAACCATGTCTTGGAGATATCAGAGGGTAGCAAGTGGAGGTCACTTTGAAAAGCTATGGTGGGAAACAAAGCCACCTAGTATGCATAGATATCTTGGCTTTCAAACTCTGGCAACATTTATGATGTGCGAAAGCCCCTAAGTGGTGTGGTGAAGATGAGACGACCTCACACACTTGCATGCCATGGTCAGCATCAGGCACACGTTAAGCAGGGGGCAGTTGTGTACATCCCCAGAGGGTAGGTGGCTGGGACTGAATGAATGCTTCTGTGCCAGGAGGCTATGACCAGCCATTCACAGAATCTCAAGCTGAGGTCCAGAGTGGTGATGCCCTGAGGTGGGAGTTTCCCTGGGGGGTGGGGCTACACATGAGGTGACGAATCCAGGGCCCTCTCTGCCCAAGTTCCATGGTAGCCCTCCCTGGACTGTCAGTTCACCCAGTTCACCCAGGTCCTGCTCATGGACAGCCACCTGCACACCTGTAATGCCCAGGAACACACAAGTCTCTGTCAGAGGCACTGAAAAGGATCTCACATACCGACACCACTGAGGTAGGGGCTGATGGTCCTCCAGGCACCGATGCTGCCCTGACGCATGCGTTGCCCCACGGCCAGCTCCAGGTACAAGAGTGGCATCCCCTCTACAATGAGCATGATGACATAGGGGACCAGGAAGCTCCCTGTGGGAGGCCAGAGCTGAGCATCAGGTCAGTGTGGAGAGATGGGTTTACCCTGCCTTGCCTCTATGCGACTGTGCTTCTTTCCCCTGCCTTTCCCCAACCAGTCCCTCCTTCCACTCCATCCTTCTACCCTCAGACCTTTCAAAAATCTATTTTTTGCCTTAGTTTCTTCTACCTTTCATGTCCATCCCTCTGTCACCCTGTTTGGAGCCAAAGATCTCAGGGCTTGGCATGAGATCCTAGGCCATGCTTGGCCGGCCACATAGTTAACCTTCACATAGCAGCTCCTTAGAACCTCAGCTCAAGAAAAGAAACAACTTGACACAGTTCTCCACCCACAGGCCCAGTCACCTAGGCAACCCTTCCTGGACCTCTTACTCATGAACTCTTTACCCTGCCAAACATCCTCTTTGTGGCTTCCTAATATCCTGCCTACACTAACACCGGGTGCACAAACAACCCATTCTACCCCTCCCCATATCCTGCTCCACTGACTATATAAGCTAGCCTGAGGAAAGTAAAGTTTGCCACTTGATCAGAATCCTGTCTTATGGTTGTTCTTTCTGCGTCTCTTGTCTCCATTCCCTATCCCTGACTCTCTTGCCCCAGGTTGATGACCTGCGGGTTGGGACATCACACCTCTCACTATCTATCTTCAATTCATGCTACCAGTCCAAACTTTCATCAATTCACCCATCCATGTCTCTCCATCCATCCATCCATTCATCTGTTCACCTATCCATAGATGGCATGCAGCCATCTCTGTTGTTTAAATCTTTGAATACTTCTGTCCTGAGAGGCAAACTGCCACTGGCCTCAGCTCCTTGAGTATCATTCTCCATGACTCTGCTGGCCCAGCTTCTGCCAGTGAAGCTTCTACCCTCTTTTTAAAAAAAATTGTGTTGAGGAGGTCAGAGGGACAACTTTGGGAAGTTGGTTTTCTCCTTCTACCTTTATGTGGGTTCTGGAGATCGAACTCAGGTCACCAGGCTTGTGGTAAGTACCTTTATCCACTGGGTCATCTCACTAACCTCTGTCTTCTCTTGCAGAACTTAAGGGCTGGTGAAAGGCTAGTCCACCAAGTTGCTAAGTAATTTAAACTTCACTCCTGAGTGCTTCTGTCTGTCTTCTTACAACTCTGGTGGAGTCTATGTGATGTGGTGTCTGAAACAGACCTTTTCTAAGCTCTGGCCACACCTGGTCTGTGAGTGGAAAAATCAGCTAACCTGCTTCCTGCCCTAAAGAGTTCACCTAGCTAGAGGGATTTTGGATGCTTTACAATTGCCTGGATTATAGAATGTTCCTTCAGGCCTGATGTTTTCAGAGTTCCTAGTAGCTTAGCTAATACAGGGGTGGGTAAACTAGTTGGGTTTCCCAGTACACAAAGCTTCATACCACATTGTCCTTTTAAAGGGATCTCTCTGTGCATGTCTGTTTTGAACGAGCATCTTCAGTCTAAAATTTCATTTTGGTAACAGTGACTTTAAAAAGAAAAACCTTCAAATCCATAAATGCCTAAGAATCAGTCTGTGAATGGAACTGTAAACACCTTGCCACTGCTAGACAAATGTAGAGAGTCAGGCAGGCATACAAGGCTGCCCACCAAGTCTGCTGCATGGAGGCATGACCCAAGACTACTTTGGAATTTTCTCTTATCCATTCCATTTCATGGCTCCTTGTCTGGGACCTGGGAAACTTCAACAGAAAAGGGCATACAAAAGCAAAAAGCCTGACAAACAGTAGCAGGGATTGAGGGTGGCTTGTAGAGGAAACTGGCTCCTTGGCATTAAGGAAAACAGAAGCATAGGCATACACAAACCCTAATAGTCATAAAATACCTCCATGGTACACAGGAGCTGCCTGTGTAGCAGGGGTATTGATGGTCATTTAATTTCCCTCCATGGTACACAGGAGCTGCCTGTGTAGCAGGGGTATTGATGGTCATCTATGGAACCATAGACCAAGAACTGAACTTCCGTGAGGAAGACCCAATTGCAAAGAAAGGGAAAGTAATAGCTTCAGATTGGGTGGGGCCCTATGACCAGTAGTCTTCTTGACTTGTGTATTTTATAGGGCCCCTGGATCCTTGCCTTTTTTCTATTTTGATACCTGCCCTCATACCTTCCTGGGATTCCTCCCTGAATGTTTTCTGGGAACAAGAGGCTGCCAATTTAGGAAGCCAGCTTTCACTCCCCTTTGTGTACCTATGTTCCTCTTACTCTCCTTCAGTACTCCACTCATCCCACCTGCTGTCAGGGGAAGGGCTATGACAGCTCTGGCTGCTTCTTGTTGAGATGGGCAGAGTCTGGGCTGGTGCTAGTCTGAGAGAGGGAAACTTTTACAAGACAGGCTCTTGGGACCTCTCCAGTGGGCTGCTGCCCAAGCATAGCCCAAGGTCCTCCACTGGGTCCATTCGGAGCTCCAGTTGCACCTTTCAAGAGACCTCATATTATTCCCTTTGGCATGGCTAAACTTTATTGAGGAATTGATTACATATGGAATCAACTAAAGCCCAAAGAACTGGACACAGCTGTGGGGAATTTTCCTGATTGGCTCATTTGAGGTGGGAAGATTCACCCTAAGTCAAGGCCATACCTTGTGGTTTTGGAGGTTTACATAAAAGTTTAAGGAAGGATATTCTGATGATGAGGCATTCCTTGGCTGGCATTAGAACCTACTTCTTTGGGTTTTAACAGACTGAAACACCTAGACTTGTGGACAGAACAACTACAGGATTTTTTTTTTTTTTTTGGCTGGGAGATAGCTATTGCTAGGCTATCTGATCACAACCTACAAGCTACTATAATAATACTATCATTTCTGACTCTCTGGGGAACTGACTAATAAAGCCTTATAGCTAGGAAGTTGAGGTGGGAATCAGATCCCCGAGGGAGTATCCCTGCAGATGCACAACAGAATAACAGGCAAAACCCAAAAGCTCTGATTATATATACATTTTCTTATGCCAGTCCTTGTAACTGCCATGGAGAGTAGACCAGTAACTCCATTTCTTTAAGCATAGCTTCGACATCGGTGTATTGAACTGTGGCCTTTTGTATACCTTATATAATTTGTCAGACCTTTGTAACATGATTAAGCCTTCTTGAATTCTTTTCCATTCTAGAGTATACAGCCATCTTAGGAGACATAGATATCATCAGATCAACAGTCACCAAGCCTCGGTGTGACAATCTTACAAGCAGGCCCAGCTGATGTCATGAAGGGGGCAGGGTTTTGACTTGGAAGATAGTTATGGTATAACACCACCTTGATAAAGAATATTGAATCCAACCTGCATCTATACTATTACCTGTATATAATTCTTTTAAATAATGGGGGTTGGTAAGTTCCCAGGTAAATCTTACAAAAAGCACAAGACAGGCTTCATACAGTACATAGTGATTTACCATGACCACACTTTTGTTTTTGAATGAGCATAAGTAGCTCAAATATCATGAAATAATGCATTTAATCTTTGATTATTGTTCTTTCTCCTTGTCACAGTGTCATATGGTTATCCTGACTAGGGAAATGGAGCTTTGGAGGATATTTTGAGGCAAACATGGTTGGGTTTGAAGTAGAAGGGCTGAATTCCACCCTCCAGAACCAGTTTCTTACTGTGTTCAAATAGCACATGACAACTTACACAAAAGGCATTTGCTCATCTGTAAAACTGAACCCAGTGTCTTACACTGGACACGAAAGTTGCTGTTGGATCCAGTGACAACTGGCTGAACCCACAGTACCTGTCTTCCTTATAACCAGTAGAGAACTATCCAGGTGAGTCTCACTTACTGGGACATGCACTGGGAACAGAAATTGAAGAGGTTATCCTTATAGAGTTTTAAAATTTTATAAAGTTGTGGGTGAGTGGCAGTGAGCCCCCATAATAAAGGAGGAAGTTATCTGCCTTTCTAATGACCTACCTGAGACCCTCCCTATCTAGAATTGGGGTGATCAACTACTTGAAAGACTCCACCCACAGTCACTTTGCAGGTGCCTGCAAATGGAGGCAGACGACCTGGAAAACCCAAGAGCTTCTGTTTTTCTTTAGCCTCTGCCAAGGGGAAGGCTCTGTGAACATAGGTGGTCAACAGAGTTCTCCCACAACCTCCTGCAAGGGAAACATCCCATCTTGTTAATATACCTCCTGACCAAAACCAACAAAATAGTTTTTGTTTGTTTTAATGACTGATTCAGCTCACTGTTTGAAGAGGCAGCTGAATAGTGACTTTAGAAGAATCTAGGAAATCGTTTGTCTCATTTACAATGAGATGGAAAAAGCGAAGTCTTGGATCAGGATTGCCCGGTTTCTATCCACATTCCACCTTGATGGGCATCTCTCTCTCCCCCGTCTCTCTCTCTCCCCCATCTCTCTCTCTCCCCCATCTCTCTCTCTCCCCCATCTCTCTCTCTCTCCCCTGTCTCTCTCTCTCCCCCGTCTCTCTCTCCCCCGTCTCTCTCTCTCCCCCGTCTCTCTCTCTCTCCCCCGTCTCTCTCCCCTCTGCCTCTCTCTCTCTCTCTCTCTCCCTCGTCTCTCTCTCTCCCCTCGTCTCTCTCCCCCGTCTCTCTCTCCCCCCGTCTCTCTCTACCCTCCATCTCTCACTCCCCCATCTCTCTCTCACACTCCCCTGTCTCTCTCTCTCTCACTCCACTGTCTCTCTCTCTCTCTGGTCTCTCTCTCTCTCCTTCACCCCCCTCTCTTCCCTCCCCCCTCACTTTTGGTTGAGACAGTTTTCTTTGTGTAGTCCTGGCTGTTCTGGAACTCTTTCTGTGGGCCAGGCTGGCCTCAAGCTCAGAGATCTATCTGCCTCTGCTTCCCAAATATTGGGATCATCCTGAGTGCTGGGACTAAAGGTGTGCACTACCGTGCCTGGCATATTATTTGCTCTTATAATTGGCTCTTTAATATCTTGTGATCTTAATGAATTCCTAATCTCATAAGGGCCTCCCCTCAAAACAACCTGAAGTAAACATTCCCTTTGGCCTATTTTCCTCCTTCACATTAATAATCTATAAGTAAATACCCTAAGTACTCAGAGCAAATAATTTACCGCATGTACCCATAAGAGACTATGAACTACTTTCCCTTGTTTGTCACACAACTAGAGAGTGAAAAAGAAAAGTATGGGTGCCCATAGCACAATGGGACAGCAACAAGAGCTGGCAACAAGGAGGGAAAAGATATTCTATATCAAATTGAGGAAAACCAGGATTGGAAATGCCAGACAGAAAGAGCATCATTATCCCAGAGAAGCCCTCATCTCCAGCCTCCCAACTCAGATAGGCTGA